TATATATATATATATATATATATATATATATATGTATGTGTGTGTGTGTGTGTGTGTCCGTGTGTGGTGTGTATCCATATGGATAAATCAAATAACTAGATATTAGCTACTGTATATACGTGCGTTAGCGTAAAAAGTAATAATTCGTACTTGATGAGTTGGTAGAAAAACGAAAGATATATATATATATATATACAAATGTAACGAAAATAGTATATATATATATATATATATATTCTAACGTTCACAGTGTTAATTCAAAAAGGGCTCAATACCGATATTATTTATTATAATTTTTTCATATAGAGAAAAACAATTTATTCACGTTCAGAACCATTTTGGTTCTTACCAGTCGAGGTGCAACTAAATGCACCGAAACGAAGTTGCATCTTTGTCGTGAGTAAATTTTTTTGTCTATATGAAAATAATATATATATATATATATATATATATATATATATATCTGTCTATATTTCTGAGATGAGATATTATGTACAGTATTTACATTAGTCGGACTATTGTCCTCATCTTTGTCGCCATATTTGTCACAACATTTCGGCCGTTGTACGCTCCAGCCTTCTTCAGGTGGTTGGAATTTCGAACTGAACCCTTAATTTCGATCACTGGGGTAGACTTTTCTATTTCTGTTATATTAGCAAGAGATAACTGATAACTGGCATCCATCAAACATGGCACGTGGAAATAGAACAGTCTACTCCAGTGATCGTTCGAAATCCAACCACCCGGAAGAAGGCCGAGTACAACGGCCGAAACGTTGTGACAAATGGCGACAAAGATGAGGATAATAGTCCGACTAATTAAATATATATATATATATATATATATATATATATATATATATATATATATGACCAGTCATTTCAGTCGAAACTAGTCGAGAATCTAAATGGAATAATAATAATAAAAAAACGAAAGAATATTAATCCTACAACCCAGTGTGTCTAATGATTTTAATTTTTTAATTTTTATTTTCTTATTATTTCAATATATATATATATATATATATATATATATATATATATATATATATATATATATATATAACCACCGCCAGCACAACGATAGCAACAACCAAGATTACATTTGAAATCGAATATTACTGGAAGATAACATTTTGTATGGTAAGCAGTTTTTCCAATTGTCATACTCTATATCAAGATCGTTTTCAAACCGTTAATAGTAATAATAAAATATTATATTAAATTTGTTCACTTATCTTTGTCTTTACTCTGAGTGTCGTGGTATTACTTCCATTCTTAGGGACACTTGATATTGCAAAATTGAATTTATTTTCAGAAATATATGGCCTTCTTCTTCGATGGCGGCGTCAGCAGCGCAAAATAAGTTATTTCAAAACACACCGCCTCTCATGGCTAAAACAACCAATGCACGACCTTTTTACAACGACCACTGCAGTAGAAGACTGTGGAGTCATCCACCGTGAGACATATGCGTCTTTGTCTAGCCTCTTCTCTTCGTAGCTCTTTGCTCCCGCGAAAATAAAAGCTCTCCACCCGACTCGATCCCGGAGAACCGAATCCCAGTTCGCAACATTGATAGAAAGTTCCATCATGGACGTTTTACACTAATCCATAAAACGAAATTTGGGTCGTCCGGCGTTACGCGTGCCCTTAGACAGGTTCAGAAAGAATATTTTCCTGAAATGACGTCCTGGGTATGACGATAAACTACATCCACGTCCTGGGTAAGACGATAAACTACGTCCAACAGCAAGGCCTCTGATCAGGAGGTTTTGAGGAGTGTGGAACCACCTCTTAATTGCTGGTGTTCCCAGGTCCACCACGACCCGGGGTGGTAGCACCTGTTAGGGTCCAAGCTATGGGGAAACAGTTAACTCCCAACCCAGATCTCGTCTTGGTTATGATGATAAACTACATCCGCGTCCTAGGTAAGACGATAAACTACGTCCAACAGCAAGGCATCTGATATTACATTTTTGAAAAATAATGTTGCTAGCTGTACGTTTTTGAAAAATAATATTACCAGCTATACGTTTTTGAAAAAATAATATTACCGGCTATACATTTTTGAGGAAAAAAATATTTACAGAAATAGATTTTTGACAAAACAAAAATATTACCAGGAAAAAAAAGTTGTCGGCATTAAATGACCCATTGAGGTTGATATGCCGTAAAACAAACCGAACTGAACCGGACCAAACCTGAAATGACGTTTTCAGACGTAAATTTATTTGACTGTTCATCATTAAAAGAAGTTATTTTGTAATGTAAAAGTATTTGAAATTTTTCGACGGTATGTATTAAATATTTCTTTTTAGATATTAGGGAGTTAGATATTAATTAGACATTGATTTAGAGAAGATAAGGCAGTCTATTCATATCTGTTCGCCTATCTGTCCATCTGTTTTTATTTATCTGACTGTTCCAATCTATCTATCTATCTATCTATCTATCTATCTATCTATCTATCTATCTATCTGTTGTAAACTAGATAAGGTTACTGAATAGAATAATCAAGCGAAAGTTGGTAAGGAACGATAATACTTAGGACACGAATAACACATAAGATTCGGCAGCGGCGCGTAAAAGAAGTAGTCAACTTCTAGAAGTAAGTCAAGTGAATTCCACAATGAATCTCCAACTGCAGACCAGCATACAGTATTTACTACTGTATTTATGTGAATGGGGACATAAACATTATCGTCCGTAGGTATGCTACAACACAATCTATCTATCTATCTATCTATCTCTATCTATCTATCTATCTATCTATCTATCTATCTATCTATCACATCTAATCTCTATCTATAAATCTATCTATCTATCATTCATATCATATCTATCTATCTATCTATCTATCTATCTATCTATCTATCTATCTATCTATCTTACCCCCGTTCATATTCTATCTATCTATTCTATCTATCTATCTATCTATCTATCTATCTATCTATCTATCACATTCAATCTCTACCTATAAATTACCCCCATTCATCTATCTATCTATCTATCTATCTATCTATCTATCTATCTATCTATCTATCTATCTATCTATCTTATTGCGTTCATATCTATCTATCTATCTATCTATCTATCTATCTATCTATCTATCTATCTATGTTTTTATACTGTTTCGGATTGATAGGTAAATATGAGCATAGATACGATTTGGTTTTGCTGGAGTTTACGCTGTCAACTCCTGTTGGGTCCATTGTTTGTTATTTAATACGTGTGCCTATCAGTAAACATTGGCCTTGGTTAAATTTAAGCCTACAGAGAAAAATTGGTCAGGTGTATACTTCAGCCAATACAAAATATCGGTCAGGTGTATACTTGAGCCTATAGGGATGTATCAAATATTTATATTCGAAATGATATTTAAATATAATAATATTTGAAATATCGGAATTTAATTTATAAACGAGGAGAAATATTGAAAAGTTTGTTAACTGTGGAAAAAGATAGCAAAAAGAAAAAGAACAATATAACATATTAAAATAATCCACCTTAATAATGGTTCAATTAATAAAATGTCGGATTAAAAAGAAAGCCACTAATTCTTTAGAAATTGCTTTTTTTTACGTTTCAGATACGAAACTGGGTAGATATGGGCTCTTCGAGGAAAATGACCTGAATGAGGTAATGTGCTTTTCTTAAATGGGAAAACACGGCCTTGATGAAATGTACCGATCTTCGCAAAATACGACGATTTAAACGGTGATCTCCTCTACAAACAGAGACGCGAGTTCGATCCCAGCATGACGACACATTTTATTGATGTTTATAAAGATTTCTTGGGTATGCAGGTCGATAGATGTAGTGCACACAGTTCAAAGTAAAAATAAAAATGGGGCGTTTATTTCTAATACAATTTTCTACTATAAGTCAATAGATATGAAATGGAGATATGAGATGACTGAAATTGACACAAACCGATCGACCTTTCGACAGACGCACAGATAGATATGAACACGTGTAATTTTCAGGGATAGATAGAATATATATATATATATATATATATATATATATATATATATATATATATTAATATATATATATATATATGTATCTGTATTAAGAGAGAGAGATAAATAAATAGATAATATATATATATATATATATATATATTATAAATTATAAAATATTATATATTATAAAAGATTTTAAAAATTGACAGACAACACTAGCCTTGCTTTTGAAACTCACGGTCTCATTAGGTGATTACTTTTATTATATATCATATATATATATATATATATATATATATATATATATATATATATATATATATATTATATAAATTTACCATATATATATATATATATATATATATATTATATAATATATATATATATATATATATATATATATATAATATATATATATATATATATTTACCATATATACATACATATATATATATATATATATATATATATATTAATAAATATACATAAACCTACAGTTGAGGCTACATTAAATAGTCGCCCTTCATATATATATTTATTATATATATATATATATATATAATCACATTGATATTGTTATATTTTACATTAATAAATTTAGTAAATAAACCTGTGTATGTAGCATATATACGCTTGTTAATATCTATTTAAATATCTATTATTTGATTTTTACTAACTCTTCTATATATATATATATATATATATGTATATATATATATATATATAAATATATCCTAGGGGGTCTGAATAAATAATATGAACGGAGACAAAAGAGATATTGATAGGATATTGTTATGTTTAAATCTCAAAAGGTAAACAGATATTATATAAATAGACAATGATAGATATAAATATATATATGAACAGATATATATAATAGACATAAAATAGATAGATATAAATAGATAAAGATAGATGGATGATATATATGAACAAATCAATATATATTATATATAAATATATATATATATATATATATATAAATATAAAAATAGATATAAATAGAGATAGATAGATGGTTGGGTGGATTTTAAAATATAGATAGATAGATAGATAGATAGATAGATAGATAGATAGATAGATAGATAGACATGAACAGTGTAGAGATAGATATGAACAGAGTAGAGATAGATAGATAGATATGAACAGTATAGAGATAGATGTGAACAGACTGAGATAGATAGATAGATAGATAGACAGACAGACAGACAGACAGATAGATAGATAGATACCATGCTTAAACGACCAAATCGTGTCTCCACAATCAAATGTCAGCGCCTTTGCGGAATTTGTCGCTTATTTTATTTTGATTCATTTTTTTTCGCTACCATCTTTTCCGCGTTTGCTGACATTTCCCGCTCTTTTTTTTTTGGCACACGCCGGAATTTATTTCATAAAAATTGGCGCCAATGACAAATGCCGAGCCATCACCTTCGACTTATTGAATGATAAACGATAATCCTATGAGATCGCACATTACCCTCCCAACTCCGTTTGTTGAAATTCAACTTCCCTCCCCAGAGAAAGAGAGAGATGGAGAAGATATATTTAGAGAATAGAGAGAGAGAGAGACGAGTGAAAGAGAGGCTGAGAGAAAAGAGAAGAAAGAGAGAGAGATAGAGAGAGAAGAAGGAGAAAGAGATGAGAGGCAGAGAGAAAAAGAGAAGAAAGAGAGAGAAAGAGAAGAAAGAGACAGAAAAGAGAAGAGAGAGAGAGAGTGAGTGAGAAAAATGAGAGAGAGAAAAGTGAAAAGAGAGAGAAGAGAGAGAGAGAGCGATAGAAGAGTGAAAAGAGAACGAGAAGAAAGACAGGGAGAAAAAAGAAGAGAGAGGGGAGAAGAAAGAGAGAAAATACAAGATGGAAAGGAGAGATAGAGGGAGAGAAGTGAGCGAGAGAAGAGTGAAAAGAGAGTGAAAAGAGAGAGTGAAAAAGAGAGAGAGAGAAAGAAGAGAGAGTGAGTGCGAGAAGTGAGAGAGGAGTTAAAAGTGAGAGAGTAAAGAGAGAAAAGAGGAGAAGGATAGAAATGAGAGAGAAGAGAGAGAGAAAAGCAAAGAGAGAGAAGAGAGAGTGAGAGAAGTGAGAGAGAGAGAAGAATGAAAAGAGAGAGAAAAGTGAGAGTGAAAAGGGAAGAGAGAGAAAGAAGAGAGAGTGAGTGCGAGAAGTGAGAGAGGAGTGAAAAGTGAGAGAGTAAAGAGAGAAAAGAGGAGGAGAAGGAGAGAAATGAGAGAGAGAGAGAGAAGAGTGAAAAGAGGGAGAGAAGAGTGAAAAAGAGAGAGAAGAGAGAGAGTGCGTGAGAGAGACGGGGAAGTGAGAGAGAGAAGTAAGAAAATAGAGAGAGAAATAAGAAGAGAGAGAGAGAGAGAGAGAGAGACATTGGTGAGAAGGATAAACAGAATAAAACAAAAATGTCAGCGGAGGTCTTTTAGGAGGAAAAATAAAATGAGAGTTTCTATAAAACAAGTCAGAGAAAAGACGTTCCTAGTGACATGCGCAGTGGCTATAATCGTCAGCAGTCGACATTTCCAGCAACACCTTCATTTCGACCAGGCTGCAAAACCTGAACTCTTTTCTTCCGTCGCCGCAACACACTCTTCTTTCGTTCACTTTGTGCATTCCAAGACCCCCGTCCTCTAAGCTCTTCTTTCCCGCTCTCTTTCTACGCTGCATTCGTCGTCCTTCGCAATTCCGACTCATAACCACCACGCCATGACGTTTTCCCTGATCTGACCCAACCTCACCCAACTCCTCCCCCTTTCTAATAACACGCCAACTCCCGATCTTCTGATCACATGACCCCCACCCGCGACAACACTGTTTTTTTTTTTCCTATCAAATACTCCTCATCATTCTACTCCGCCTTCTCAACCGACTGCTTGTCTCTTTGGCTAAGATTGCATCTTCAGCTACACCCACAACGTCCTTGCTTTTTTCGGGCATCTTATTCTCGACCTGACTTCGTGTTCACTCTCTCTTCTTCATTCGATATCTCTCCCCTCCTTTCTTTATCCTTACTCTCCTATTATTTTTCTCTCTCGCTCTCCCACGATCTCTTCCGCCGTTATTTTACATCTCTTCCTACTCCTCGTACTCCTGCTACTGTATATATCCCTCTCCTCCTCTTTCTGCACCAAATTTCAAATTTTACTTTTCCTCCTACTACCAATTACTTATCGCCATCACTTGAAATGAACCCATCCCTTTTTTGTTCAACTTCAAGCATCGCGGTTTTGAACACGTTTTTCTACTTTGCACGGTTCGCTTATTCTTCAGATATCCAGCCATTGCCAAGAATCTTTTTCTGTTTCGTATTTTGACTCTAGTTCTTTTCTTTTGAGGAATCTTTTCCCTTCAGGACGTCGGCGATCTCTTGTAGCTCTCAATAAGATTTGACCCTTTGCTTCTTCCCCCAGCCCGTGTTCTGTCAACCGCTTGCTTAAGCCTGCTAGGCATGTCACGTGTTGCTTTCCCTTGTCTCTCTTTCCCTCTATTCGACCTGTGAGTATCAGATTCTCAAGGCCCTCTTTTCTCATTACGTGTCCCAGAAACTTCAGCTGCCTCTTCCTGATGTTAACTATAAGCTTCCTCCTTGTTTGCATCTTCTCCAAAAACCTCATCTTTGCTCAAACGTTCGGTTCATGATATCCTTAGCATCCTTCTGTAGAAACATACTTCCGTTGCTTTGAGGAGACCGTCCAACATTCGATGCCGTAAAAGAGGACAGATGTCGCGTAGCAGCTCAGCAATCTCTTCTTTGGTACCAAAGAGATCCTTCTGTCTCGTAATACTCTGCCTGGCTTTTGGAATGTGTCTTTGGCCATTCTAATACGTCTTCGGATCTCAGCGACGCACTTACCGTCCTCTGTCAAAACACTTCGCTGATATTTAAATTTCAGCACCTGCTTGATTTTAGTGTTCCCGACCTGCAAATCGCATTTTGGGCTCGTTCTTTTTACTTATGACCATGCATTCTGTCTTCTTGTAGTTTATGGTCAAGTCCCTTCTTCTTGCTCTCCTTCGAGACCTTCTGTAGGAGGTTTTGTATTTTCTTTTCCGTGTCTGCTATCAGTACTGTGTCATCTGCGTATCTTATGTTGTTAAGATTGTGGCCGCCGATGCTATGTTCTATGTCTGTTCCTATCTATCTATCTATCTATCTATCTATCTATCTATCTATCTTAGTCATCTATCTATTATGTGTTGACATCTATCTATCTATGATCTATGACATCTATCTATCTATCTATCTATCTAGTGATTTTCCAAGCGTAGCTTAGATGTGGCACAAGGCCGAAAGTATGGGGCACCCAGTGAGGTTCGAACTCACTACTCAGTCGTAATCGTTCTAGCCAGGCAAGCTTGCTAACCATTACACCACCTCGATGTGCCTATCTCTCTCTCTCTCTCTCTCTCTCTCTCTCTCTCTCTCTCTCTCTCTCTCTCAGTCTTTGCTGGCTTCAAGAGCCGTTGTCGCTCTCCCAAGGACATTGCTAAAACTTGCCAGCGATGGTCATACTCGTTTAACGAGTCGACAATCATTATGTATGGCAGATGTTTTTGCATAAATATCACATTGGGAAATGTCAGGGAAACCTAGGTGTTGATCGTTCACCCTGGGGAACAACAGTGTTAAATTATAAAATAGATTTATAACAGAATTGTGTTGAGCCAAAAAAAAAAAAAAAAAAAAAAAAAAAAAGAAGAAAAAAAACACACAAAAAACAAACTAAGAGAGATATTCGTAAGGGTGTTTATGTTAATTCTTTCTGAAAATGTGGCCACAGAATTTTATCTAAAGTTAAAGGAATGTGGTCGCGTCTGTCTAGGTGAGGCAGGCCTCAACTATCCTCAGAGACGACACACGCACATCCAGAAATCATTCGTTATACGTTATACGCTATTTATGTAACAGCTATTGCAAAAGACGACCGACGTGAGAGAAGGTAAGACCGCGGCGGGACTAAAAAAGACGCATACGCGCCGCCCATATTTGAAAACGAATCAAGCCACTGCATTTCTCGAAATCATCGTGTATGTGTAGGGACGTAGAAATACGTGGGTTGGTATTCAGGGGTGCTGTAACCCTGCTAGAAGTGGGATACGCCTAGTTAAGTCATTTCTATAGGGAAGAGAAAATCTCTGGCATTATATTTATAATTTCGTTTGCATCCACAGACCTTGATCATTTTTTTTACCTCGTTTAAATGTAACCGAAGTTTAGTGAGTGGGACTGATTCAGTGCAAAGTATTTTCCCCCTTTTTTTAATCATTTCGCCCCATGCAAAGCAATAAAGCCGCTAAGACGAAAGGGATTTACTGAATGTGAAAGAATAAGAAAAAAGGAAGCATTATTAAGGAAAGAGAAGAATAAAAGAACAGAAATTAAGAAGACGGTAGATAACGATTGACATTGCATTCAAATTTTAAATTCAGAGCTGTCCTTATCCTGGTTGGTCGACCAATGCTAACGACCTCAGTTTGTCCTATTATTTGTCCTATTCTTTTTCCTATTATTTGGCCTAATAGTTGTCTTATTTTGTCCTGTTATATGTCCTATTCTTTGTCCTATTCTTTTTTCTATTATTTGTCCTAATAGTTGTCTTATTATTTGTGCTATTATATGTCTATTATCTGTCCTATCCTTTGTCCTATTCTTTTTCCTATTACTTATCCTAGTAGTTGTCTTATTCTTTTTTCTATTATGTGTCCTATTTTTGTCCTATTCTTTGTCCTATTCTTTTTGCCATTATTTGTCCTAATAGTTGTCTTATTCTTTGTCCTATTATATGTCCTATTTTTGTCCTATTCTTTTTGCTATTATTTGTCCTAATAGTTGTCTTATTCTTTGTCCTATTATATGTCATATTTTTGTCCTATTCTTTGTCCTATTATTTGTCCTAATAGTTGTCTTATTCTTTGTCCTATTATTTGTCCTATTATTTACTGAAAAGTGTTGAGTTCAGAGAGAGCGAGCGCTAGAGTTTGTGTGTGTGAGATAGATAGATAGATAGATAGAGATATATATATATATATATATATATATATAGAGAGAGAGAGAGAGAGAGAGAGAGTCCACTCTGCTTTGTTACTTAATACTTGGCTGGGGGAAGATGAATTCTTACCGTTTCCACGAGCATAAGCGTGAAAGGCTACGAAAGAATTGTTCAGGATTTGATCTCGACACGACAATTTTTTTTTCGCACCGATTACCGTTGCACTACCCTTTCATTATTACTATATGAAAAATATTGAATAAAATGAACGGGGAAAGAAATTGAAAATATTGTATAAAATGAACGAAGAAAAATTTATTTTAATCATTTAATAGCAAGACAGGTATTAAAGCCACGAAGACGCAAAAGGTTACCACGGGCGAAAGAATCCTAGAACGAGGAAAGCATTATTAAGGTGCTTAAATTCATAAAGATTAGCTACCGAAAAGGAAAGTTCCATTATTAAGGAGCGAGAACAATAAAAGGACAGGAATTAAGACGACAGAAGATAACGATTGACGTTGCATTTGAATTTTTGTGTATCAATGTTGATTAGAAAGAAGCCGAAAGATGAAAGTTAAATGGAAAGTAAGAATCCGTAAGAGAGGCCCAAAAGCGAAAAGTGCGAGAGAAGAAACTGTTAGCATAGGACTTGCGGTGGCATCTAGCCATTTCAACTGCAAAATGAAACCTTGCCTCCAGTCTACTGTTGCGCTTAAATTCATACAGATTAGCTACCAAAAAGGAAAGTTCCCAGAGCAATTACCATGAAAGTATTTATAGAAAAGTCACAGGGAAGCTAGGTTATGGCGGTGAGAAAGAGATTGAAACCAAGATGCCAGGTCAGAACCTATATCATTGCAGATTCTTCTTTGTATTTTATCAAGAACGTCTAAATACATAGCAGAAGCACCAGACCAGATGTGGCAGCACACTTCAATGTATAGACGAATGGTAGACTGATAAATATGTAAGATCTATCTATCTATCTATCTATCTATCTATCTATCTATCTATCTATCTATCTATCTATCTATCTATCTAACAGCCTTAGATATATAGACGAATGGTAGACTGATAAATATGTAAGATCTATCTATCTATCTATCTATCTATCAGCCTTAGATACATAGACGAATGGTAGACTGATAAATATGTAAGATCTATCTATCTATCTATCTATCTATCTATCTATCTATCTATCTATCTATCTATCTAACAGCCTTAGATACATAGGCGAATGATAGACTGATAAATATCTAAGATCTATCTATCTATCTATCTATCTATCTATCTATCTATCTATCTATCTATCTAACAGCCTTAGATACATAGGCGAATGATAGACTGATAAATATGTAAGATCTATCTATCTATCTATCTAACATCCTTAGATACATAGACGAATGGTAGACTGATAAATATGTAAGATCTATCTATCTATCTATCTATCTATCTATCTATCTATCTATCTAACAGCCTTGGATACATAGTATTCATATATATATTTAAGTGTGTTCATGTCTATCATTTCACACCAAGCAAGGAGAAAATATTTGCTATAATATTGTAGGCCAATGAAAGACATTCGAGAGATGAAAAAAAAACTCAGTAATAATAATGATAATAAAAATAATAATGTTTATTTTATATTGTTAGGCTTTTATACTAATTAAAAGCAGGATGGGAAAAGATCTTAAAAATTGGAATTTTCGCCTGTGTTCCCAAAGAAAGGTAGAATAAAGTGGGATTTTTTGGAGGCAAAGAATTCGATCAAAACTACTAAATTTTTATCAGTAATATAACCCCCCCCCCGCCACCCAAATTATGAAGGCTTCCTTCCTAACCATTTTTTGAAGTAGTGTAGAACTTCAACATTTCCATTATGGTATTATTTTATCTTCTAGTTCCATGTGCTATCCATTTTAATTGTTGCTGCTGTTAGTAGTCCTCAAATGATGTAATTTCTGTTACTTGGTGCAGTTCTTTGCTTGTGATTCTGTAGCGCCAGTTTATAATGTTCGAATAAGAATTGGCTTCCCCAGAATCCACAGGCTTCCCTCGCTCAAAGCTTTTTTTAACCATTGGTCTTAGAAAACAGTTATGTACAGCTGACAGTCGAGATATTTCTGAACGGGTTTGGTGCCATGTATGACATCCATATGAAAATCTTGATCTGACGAGGATATTTATGGTCACGGCTCTAGTTTTCAGGTTGATGTTTTGGTTTTGTAGCGACGTGCGGTGTTTGGAGAAACTACCTTTATGTGTAGTTTCCTTATCTTCTGTACTGAATTTGTTACAACTGATCTATACATATCTTCAGACAGAAACAGATGCAAGATTTCCAAAAAAAAATGATTGAGACATTAAGGTTGATAACCATTTTTTAGGAAAGAAATTTATTTAAACGATTTTTCAAAATAAGAAACTTCTCTCTGTGTCATGTCCCTTCAAGACGTAGGCGATCATGGCTCTCCACAGCTTTCTGTCCTTTTGTAATTTTGCCTTTTTGTTGTTTTTTTTTCAACAAAACCCTGTTCTGCCATCCATTTACACAAGCTCACTAAGCATGTCATGCGCCGTTTTTCTCTGTCTCTCTTGCCTTCAATCTGTCCTCTGAGTATCAGATTTTCCAAGTCCTCTTTCCACATTATGTGTCCTATAAATTTTTAACCATTGATCTTAGAAAGCAGCTGAGAGTTTAGATATTTTTGAATGGGTTTGGTGCCATGCATGACATCCATATGAAAGTCTCGATCTGACGAGGATATTTAAGAACAAGACTTGAGTTTTCTGTTTGATGTTTTGGTTTTGTAACATTTTGAAGTGTTGGGTGAAGCTACATCTGGTGCAGTCTATTCTATCTGGGAATGCGATGTTGCTCAATGTGGATGACATGACATTTCAATTGAACTTGTGTCATTGCTATAAACATATGTACACAAGACTATAAGCAGGATGAATTTTCCCTTAGAAATATTATAAAGAAATATACAATTCTAGTCAACAAAAACAAAATTATCTGCTATAAAATCTTTAAAACTGCTAACCTCATCAACAACAACAAGAACTCCCCTTCAAGGTCCAAATTACAGAGAACCAATATTATGATAACATTAACTGTTTCCCTATAAGGAAACATTTGAAATTCATTGACCAAGCAGACAGTACTGCTTTTGGTTGAAATTTATAAAATCTTTTTCTTAAAACAATTTTTCAGGAAAATAGATTTCTTAAGCCCAGTCGCTGTTATTACACTTTCCAGTACTGATGAGATTTTTCTTCTTAAACTTTTATTTGAAGTAATTCAGAACATTAATATCTTGATTATGTCATTATTTTCTCTTTGAGTTACACGTGCTATCCATTTTAGTTGTTGTTGCTGTTGGTAAACCTCAACTGATGTGGTTTCTGTTATTTGCTACAGTTCTTTCTTTGTGTTTATGTAGTGCCAGTCCATATTGTTCAAAGAAGGATGGCCTTTGCCAAGAGTCTCAAGATTCACTTGTTCAAAGCCATTTTTAACCATTGATCTTTAAAAGTATTTGTATACAGCTGATAATTTAGATATTTTTTTAATGTTTGATATTCATGACATCCATATGAAAGTTTCGATTTGATGAAACTATTTAAGAACATGATTAGTTAGTTTTTAGGTTGATATTTTTGTTTTGTAACATTTTGAAGTGTTGTGTGAAGCTATATCTGGTGCAGCCTATTCTATCTGGGAATGCAATGTTGCTCAATGTGGATGACATGACATGACATTTCAATTGAACTTGTGTCATTGCTATAAACATATGTACACAAGACTATAAGCAAGATGAGAATTTATTACCAGAAATATCAAGTTCTATGGAAACATTGTTAACAATTATGTGTTTAGTTACATAACAAATATTTAGAAATAATACATATTTTCATGCTATATTTGATTTATTGGTAGGTAGTTTTTCACTTTCTCCTTTGTTATTGGCAGCATTTTAGAATACTTTGGCTGCAATGCTAAGTTTCCTAAGTTGAACAAACTGGAACTATTTCGTTTATGCTTTGTTACCTCTCTTTTCCATTGTTGCCTTTAGATCACTTTTTTCCAGTCATTTTCTGAAATTTAGAATGATGTTATTCCATTTCAAAAATAAAGCCTATAAAAAAAGGAATATTTTAAATTAATATATGACCAAAAATAAAATGCTTTTAACAAGAAAAACCTTAAATAATTTCACTATAATTATGTAACAATAATGGAATGATATTCCACAGACAAATCTACCGTTTATGTTACTTCATATCATTACATGGTTCTGAAGTTCAAATGTGGGTAAAGTCAGTCTACATTCACCTCATACTAATGCTCTTAGAAAAGACCTAAATCCATTTTTCTCTATCCACCTTTCAGATGAAGTAGTAAGGATAGTTACATCCCTTTTGTCCTGTAATACATTCTACTTTGGTCATTAGTCTAGCACCCTAGACTCTATAAAAATTTACTTATTACTGAAACTGGTATCATCACTAAATGTGGTTGTGACTCAATGTTACACAAAGACTGCAGAAATAAACAATGTTTTAGACTGAAAATGTTTTTAATTATGATTTATCTCACTTATATATATATATATATATATATATATATATATATATATATATATATATATATATATATATATATATATGAATATATACACACACACATTAAAAAGACAGTCTTGTTAATAAGTAAAAATGTCTTTGCTGTCACTGCAAAATAAAGTTTGGATTAACTTTATGAACATTTCCATGAAAAAACATCTACTCAGATTTCTCTTTTGGTCTTTCAATCATCAATATGCTTTGTAAGATTTTATCAGTTATATAACATGTTCAGCAAAGGAGGGGTGTATTCACCATTTGATAATTTTGTGGCAATACATGCTTAAAGGTTTTAGGCAGTTTTGATCAACATTTCTTTTCATGGTTAGCCGTATTGTAAATTTAGGACTACCTTACAATTAAGTAAAATAATAATAATAATATTAAGAATTTATTACAGGAAATATCAAGTTTTATAGGAACATTGTTGACAATTATATATTTAATTAAATTAAAAATAAATAAAAATAATAACAGCTAAACAGTTTTGATCAACTTTCCGTAAGAATTGTTAATGAGGACTACCTTACATTTAAGGTAATAATAATATTTATTAAGAATTTATTACCAGAAATATCAAGTTTTATGGAAACATTGTTGACAATTATGTATTTATTTACATAACAAATAAATAAAAATAATATAAATTTTGATGCTATATTCTATTTGTTGTTATGTATTTTTCATTTTCTCTTTTGTTATTGGCAGCATTTTTAGAATACTTTGGCTGCAATGCTAAGTTTCCTAAGGTGAATAAACTGGAACTATTTCATTTACAATTTGCTACCTCTCTTTTCCATTGTTGTTTTTAGATCGATTTCTTCCAATCATTTTGATGTGCAATAGCAAAATTCTGAAATTTAAAAGGATCTTATTCCATTTCAAAAATAAAGCCTGTAAAAAGGAATATTTTAAATTAATATACAACCAAAAATAAAATGCTTTGGACATTAAAATCTTTATGATTTTGCTATAATTATGTAACAATAATGTAATGATATTCCATACAGAAATCTACAGTTTCCACATCTCACTGCTTGGCTATAAACTATAAACCTAAACTGAGTGTGAAATATTGTGTAATCGGCTCTAATTTTTTGTAAAATATTTGGATATGATATAATGAATAATTTGCAGTGAAAAAAGTAATTTTGGATTTTTTGTCAAATATGACCGTCCTCCGCCGAACGCGTATTATCATTAAAAGATATTTATTTGAGAATGGAAAATAGGATTCAAAGAAAAAAAACCCTCTGGTAATCAATAAAATCACGTTAATGCTGGGATGAGGAGGTATAACTATTTACATTATTTATAGCCAGACGATTGTCCGCATCTTTGTTCCGCTATGCATATATATGGCTATTTTGTCTCGTTTTTTTTACTACTGCTCAGTTATTAGTCTTTTAT